TGCGCAGATGGTGTGGGCGAAGCTGAACGGGCTCTTCCTCGACAACGCCCTCTAGCGCCGCGTGTTTCTTCAGCAAGAATTTTTTGGCTGCCATCAACTTCACTCGTCTATCGACGACTATTGTATGCGCCTTAAGAAACTCGCTGACAAGCTTCGTGACCTCGGGGAGCGGGTCTTCGACGAGTTTCTCCTTAGCACACTCACCGCTGGCCTGAACGAAGAGTTCAGCAACGCGGCCTCCAACCTCACGTTCCTCCCGGACCCGACCTTTCCTCGGGTTGTGGCCTATCTTCGGTTGGAGGAGAGGAGGATGAAGATGGTGAAGTCCTGAGCCACGCACTCGGCGCTTGCCGTGGGCACCTCCCGCGCCGCTCCTCCCACGACTTCGCAGCCATCACGGCCTCTGCCGTCACCGGCGGCCTACTTCCAGGCGCCTCCGACGTACCAGTCGCCGCCCTCTGCCCCCGATCGTCGCCGCGGGGGGCGTCGCGGCAAGAAGCAGCAGCAGCAGCACGACGCAGGGGGGTGCCCCGCCAGCCGCCGTAGTAGGCGCTGCCCCCGGCCCCCTGGGCCGCTGCGACCAACCCTTGGACGGGGGTGGTCCACGTGTACACCATGCCAGTGCCGCGGCCCCCCATCTCGGTCGGGATCCTCGGCCCCCGCCTCGGCGCCCATCAGGCAATGCTCGCCACCCCAGGCGGCTACCCCGCCACCGCGCCTGCTATGTTGCCCCGGGCAGCTACCCCGCGGCCCTGCCCGCCTACCCCGCCGCGCCTCCTGCCGCGGCCGCGCACTTTCGCCGGCACCCTGGGATCCGGCCCTCCTTGCGGCACTTCACTCCGCTCCTACACCCAACACATACACCGGAGGCGGCGACTGGTATATGGACTCCGGGGCTACCGCCCACATGACTTCCAACCCTGGTAACCTCAACTCCGCATATCCAGTTTCTACCGCATGTCGTATCACTGTTGGGGACGGTTCATCCCTTCCCATTACTCACGTCGGTCATGGTTCTTTTCCGTCTAACTCCATGCCTATAAATATGTCTAATGTCTTAGTTTCACCTGAGTTAGCCACCAATCTTGTTTCCGTTCGTTCTCTTACACATGAAAATCCTTTAACCGTTGAATTTGACAAAGTGGGTTTTTCTGTCAAGGACGCCCGTACCCGGATGGTACTCCACCGATGTGACAGCCCGGACGGCCTCTACCCGGTGCACTCGCCCCGACACCTCCACATCCGCTCCGGTCGCTCTCTCCGCCACGGTGGACCTTTGGCATGCTCGGCAGGGACATCCGAACCCGGCCACCCTTCGTCATATTCTTAGGACTTTTTCATTCACGTGTAATAAAAACGATGATCATACTTGTCATGCTTGTCGTCTCGGCAAGCACACCCGCCTTCCGTTTAGTGTGTCTTCATCGATCGTGTCGTATCCATTTGAGTTGATTCATAGTGACTTATGGACATCTCCTCTTGCCAGTAATACGGTTTTTTGTACTATCTTCTCATACTTGATGATTTTTCGCACTATGTGTGGACCTTCCCGTTGCGGAGAAAATCCGATGCACTCTCCGTTCTCACTACTTTTTACTCCTATGTCGCTACGCAGTTTGGGCCGTCCCATTCATGCCTTGCAGACTAACAATGGGAAGGAGTTCGACAACGTCGGGGTTCGGACCCTCCTTGCCACACATGGCACGATTCTTCATCTCACTTGCCCGTATACCTTGCAACAATTCGCGCCGAATGGATCCTTCGCACCCTCAATGATTGTGTGCGCACTCTTCTCTTCTACGCTAATGTCCCGCCCCGGTTTTGGCCGGACGCCCTCTCCACTGCCTCTCTCCTCATCAACATTCGTTCAAGTCGTGCTCGTGGGAACTTTGCACCACATCATCTCCTCTTCGGTAGCCCTCCCTCCTATGACGACCTTCGTGTTTTTGGGTGTCTCTGTTATCCCAGCATCGCCTCCACTACTCCTTATAAACTCGCACCTCGCTCCGTGGCATGCATCTTTCTCGGATACCCACCAAACACCAAAGGCTATCGTTGCTATGATCCGGTTTCCCACCGAGTTTTCACTTTGCGGCACATTTACTTTGACGAGAGGTCTTTTCCCTTTTACCAGGTACTGTCGCCGGTCGACTCGTCATCGTCACCCGCGCCTCCTGGCGCCCCTCGAGGAGGCCGCTCACTTGCGCTCGCGCCCCCTCCCGGGTTCGGGCCCCCTGCAGCGCGTGGGCCTCCCCTGGTTTCGGCGCTCCCCAGCGCCTGGGCCCTGGTCTGGGTCCGTGGCGTCAGACCCGGCCCCGTCACCTGCCGCCCCAGGCTCTCCCGTCGGCCCGGCTGCCTCCTCGCCGGCGACTACGGCGCCCCCGACTCCCGTCGAGTCCGTAGCCCGGTCAGCGAGCGCATCTCATGCGCCTGACCCTGGCTCCTCGACGGCTTCACCGGTGATCCCGATGGGCTCTTCGCCGACTTCGCCCTCGGTCGATCCCCCCTCGCCGGCCCCGCTGGCCGCCCCGGACACCCGTATGGTCACTCGTGCCCGCGCCGGTATTCACCGCCCCAGCACGCGCTATTTCACGGACGAGTATCTCCTCACTGCCTCGACGTCCGCACCGTCACCCCTCCCGTCGTCAGTTTGAGCCGCGCTTTGCGATCCGCATTGGCTCGCTGCGATGCAGGAGGAGTTCAACGCGCTTGTGCGCAATCGCACCTGGCAGCTTGTCCTGCGGCCCGCCCATGCCAACGTCATCACTGGCAAGTGGGTCTTCCGGCATAAGACTTGTCCTGACGGGTCTCTCGAGCGCTATAAGGCTCGGTGGGTGGTACGCGGGTTCCGGCAGCGTGCTGGAGTCGACTTCACCGACACCTTCGCCCTGGTTGTCAAACCGGGCACGATTCGCGCGGTCCTTCAGCTGGCGGTCTCTCGTGCCTGGCCGGTACATCAGATGGATGTGTCGTAAGCGTTCTTGCATGGCCATCTCTCGGAGCAGGTCTTCTGTCAGCAGCCTACCGGCTTCGTCGACGCGGCTCGTCCTGACTACGTGTGCTTGCTCTCCCGCTCCTTATACGGGTTGAAGCAGGCCCCTCGAGCCTGGTACCAGCGGATCGTCGGCTTCCTGCAGCAGCTTGGGTTCCGAGCTACTCGCTCCGATGCCTCGCTGTTTGTCTACCACCAGGCTCCGGCGACCGCTTACCTGCTCCTCTACATCGACGACATCATCCTGACGGCCTCCTCGCCAGAGCTCCCTCGCCAGCATACTGCTCGCCTCAGCGCCGAGTTCGCCATTAAGGACCTTGGCCTGTTGCACTACTTCCTCGGCATTGAGGTAGTACGACGCGCCGACGGGTTCTTTCTCCACTAGCAGCAGTATGCGCAGGACCTCCTTGAGCGAGCAGGCATGCTTAACTGCAAGCCCGTCCCCACGCCTATCGACACGAAGGCCAAGGTCTCTGCGCTCGACGGTTCACCTGCGCCGGATGCGGCGTTCTACCGCTCCATCGTCGGCGCCCTTCAGTACTTGACGCTCACTCGACCAGACCTGCAGTACGCCGTCCAGCAGGTGTGTCTCCACATGCACGCTCCTCGCGACACTCACTGGAACCTAGTGAAGCGGATTCTTCGGTACATCCGCGGCACCACGGCTCTGGGTCTTACGTTGACGGCTTCGCCCTCGACCGACCTTGTTGCCTACAGTGACGCCGATTGGGCTGGCTGTCCGGACACCCGTCGCTCCACTTCAAGCTACTGCGTCTACTTGGGTCCCTCGCTCATATCGTGGTCGTCTAAACGACAACCCACGGTATCCCGCTCCAGTGCTGAGGCTGAGTATCGTGCTGTGGCCAATGCCGTCGCCGAGTGCTCGTGGCTCCGGCAGCTTCTCCAGGAGTTGCTTCTTGACATCCTGAAGGCCACCATTGTCTACTGTGACAATGTCTCTGCAGTCTACCTCTCCGCCAACCCCGTACATCATCGTCGCATGAAGCATACTGAGCTCGACATTCACTTCTTGCGAGAGCAGGTGGCTCTTGGGCGCATCCACGTTCTTCATGTTCCCACCGCTCAGCAGTTTGCCGATGTTATGACCAAGGGGTTACCGACGCCTACATTTGAGGAGTTCCGGTCCAGTCTATGCGTCACTGGTGACGTTTCG